GCAGCCTGGTCCTGTGACCGTCGGCTGGCAGTCACGTGCAGGGTTATCTACAGCGTGATGCAATCCCCGGCGCTGGGGCGGGAGAGCACCGTGCTGCACTTCCTGGCTTCCGCGTGTCATCGCCTGCTCCCTCGTGGAAGCAGGGTCCTTCACCCCCACAGCGCAGGACAGGGCAGTTAAGAGTTGAATCTCCTGCAAGTGGAGCTCTCGGGCTCTGGTATTCGGTCCCATCTCCCGTCCTTCCTCTGCAGCCTCGCCTCCGCGTGGCTCCGGGCCCATGTTCAGTGCTGGTCTTGACTTGGGGATCAGTGTTTGCAGGACGGCGACCCCTTTGTGATCCAGCCATCCCCACTCACCCCACTCTCTCCTCCCATTAGGAAACGCCAGCTTTCGCCCCAATCCAAGAGCTCCAGCAAAGTCACGAGCGTCCCAGGCAAGGCATCCGAGCCAGGCGCGCCAGCCGCCGGCGCCAAGGCGGGCAAGTCCAGCACGCTGTCGCGGCGGGAGGAGCTCCTGAAGCAGCTGAAAGCGGTGGAAGACGCCATCGCTCGCAAAAGGGCCAAAATCCCCGGGAAAGTATAGTCAGGCGCGGCTGCAGCCCCGCCTCGGCCTGGCCTAGCGACTCTGAGCTGTTTTTATACGTAGCACGACGCGGCCACTCTGGATTTGGCAGTTCCTTCTGATGATGATGATTTTTTTTTTTTTCTTCATTTTGGCCACGGTTCTTTTAAAACAAAAAAATTACCAAGTTTGGCAGCAGCGAACACACAAATGATGCGACTCACCCCGGCTCCTACCCTAGGGCCGCGCGGCGGGGGACGCCAGCCCCGCCAGACAGACCGAGCCGGCACCACGACGGAGGCCCAGCCACCCCGCCAGGTTTTCCATGTAAATTATGCACAGAGGACTCCAGATCGTAGCCCTGTTGGATACGTTCACTACTTTCCCCTCTCTCTTTCTCTCTCTTTTTCTCTCTTTCCCCCCCCCAGCCCATTTCTCTCTGCCTTCTCCTCTTTGCTAGCCATGAGTTGTATTCTTCTAGTTAGCCTTGCTGTGTGGTTGAGTGTCTTCAGCAATGCAGTTCTACATACTGTGTAACGAGAACCGAAAACTGCTGTGAACTACTGGCGACATCATCTTCTCTTTCTGCCCCCCATCGCCGCCCCCCCTCCCTCCAGCCCTCCCCACAGGAGCAAGACAAATATATATATATTCTTGACGAAAGTCTGATTGGGAAATACACGACCTGTCTTTTATTTTAAGCATCAGATTGTTTTAGTTGATTTAAAAAAAAAAAAAAAAAAAAAGCCACAAACAAAAAAAACAAACCGCAAAGGTCTTGGGATGTCTGTCTGACGAGGAGGGTCTTTTTTTGAGGGGTCTCCCCAAAATAAAGTATTTTGATAAACAGTTCTTCCCAGCCTGTCTGTTCTCTTCGGGATGCCCCCATCTGTGCCCACCCCCCTGGCCTCTGACGAGGTATTGCTGCCCCCTTACCCAGCCACATAGCTGCAGGTGGCATCTGCCAGGGCTTGGACACCCAGGAGCTCACATCACGGCTGGCCTCTGAACACAGCACAGGGGTTGAATGTCATGCCCTTCGCAAGCATGAGCTGTCTCCACACGCACGCGCCGGTACCACAGCTGCATGTGGAGGGAGCGGTGCTGTGAGCCTGGCTCTTCAAAGCAGGGGTGGGGAAACTGAGGCACAGATGTTAAGGGACATGCCCTGGTTCAGCGGGGGCATCCTGTGCACTGGAGCTGCTGGCAGCGGGGGTGAATGGTGCCTTGCAGGCTGAGGAGGAGGGTGGCCCTGCTGGCGCTACGGGCGATGTAAATGATGTCACCGTGTTTGCATGAGACACTAATGCACGGGGACTGGCTTCACCCCTCCCTGCACAGCATTGGCACTGCCCACGTGCCAGTAGCTACCTCCCGAGGGGATTCACCCTTGCAGAGTTGCACCAAGCTCCACCGCGCAAGCCCTGCGTGGCTGCCGGGAATACCTGTCTGCCGCAGCAGCTGGAAGGAGCACGCCTCTGGCTGGCTGGGACTGCCCCTGCTGGGTGCCCAGGAGCCCCGGCCTCTCCCCCCCCCCCCCCCCCCGAGCGCCAGCCAGGGCTGCAGCCTCGGGTCGCATTGTTTCCCCTGTTTCCATCCCCATGAGGGCATGCATATTTCCACCCTGGCGCTCGCTGGCTGCTGCAATCTCGCCATCTCTGCGGACAGGAGCGATCTGGCTGTGGTCAGCGGTGACATGTCCTAGGGCAGCTTAGGCAGATGTCCCAAGATGGGCTGCGCGCGGGTCTCCGGGGCGTGAGAACCTGCAGGGTTAGTCGGGACGGGATCCGTTCTCTGCTGCATCTGCGGGGCCAGGGCTCTCCAGCCCCAAGCACCTGCGACAAGGGCCGAAGCCCCCTGCACGTACCCCCCCGATCAGTGTGCCATGCAGTGGGCCAGCAGCACCCAATAGCTATATATGAGTGAACACGGGGCAGCCCCGGGCACTGCTCCCATGCTGCGGTGGGGGGACCCCCTGACCCTGCTCCGGTCTGGGCGAGGGGCTGCTCAAAAGCAAGCCTTGCAATCCTTCCACGCTGCCTGTGCGAGCGTGCGGCAGGCCCAGATGTGGGCCCAGGGGTGTGGCTGCCATCGGCCCGGCAGGCACCGGGGTGGGAGACACGAGCGGGGAATTCTCCCAGGGGTGGTCCCTGCAGGTCTTCCCCTTCTGCAGTGTCATAAAACCACCCCCTGCTTCTATGCCCCATTGCCCTTTTCCTGGGTTGCCCAATATGGGACTTCTGGGCCTTGCTTCAGTGCCGGGCTCGGTACCGGGGAAGGAATGTGGCCGTGACGTCGCCACCTGCTCTTGCGCAAGGGGCTCCGGGCCACCGTGGCATGGGCAGGGGGGCAGCCCCCCCCACGGCCCCGTGTGCATGGGAAGCGCTTGATCTCCATGCCCGTGCAGGACCCTGAGCAACACCCCCACCCCCTCCATCCCAGCATGGAGGGGGCTGCCAGGGATGCCCGGACTGGGGATGGAGGGGAGCTTGTGGGCGGTGTGGTCCAAGCCGCTGCCCTGTCGTCGGCGAGGTCGCAGACACCCAGCAATGTGGAGGGGGAAGGTGGGCACTGAGCCAGGCTGGGTACCGCGGCTGGGAGGAGGCAGGTTGGTGGGCATGCTGCAAAAGGGGCTTATAATAGCCCCTCCTGTGCCAGGGAGCAAGCACGACCCACCCCACAACAAGGCTGCGAATGCACCCCAGCATCAGCCAGTGCGGAAGGGCAACAGGCTCGGTGCACGGGCTGGGGGGGGCTCCAGTGCCGTCTGGCCCCGGGGTCACGGCCATCCGGCTGCAATGCTGGCAGAGATGACCATTTTCCTCCTGGCAGGGGCATAGCAGGTTAACCCTTCGTAGCTGCCACCCCCCCATGCCTTGCCCTACTGCTAATATGGGGCAGATGGCTCCCCGCATCCAAGTGGGAGCTCCCCGCGCCGGTGTTTCTGAGGCGCTGCTCTGTTTCTGGGCCCCCAGCACCCGGGATCTGCGCCTCTTCTGCCAGCAGCCCCCCCACTCCTTGGACGCAGCTCCCTGGACCAGGGCAGCCCACCACCCCTGGGGCCTGCTTGCACCCAGGCCGGTCTCCCCACCTTGCAGGAGCATCAGCTGCCCAGCCCCAGGTCTGGCGCTGTCTCAGCCCCCTCCACATCAGCCCAGAGCCCCCATCCCTATGGGGTGGGGGGGAGCACCAAGGAGAGGAGGATCCAGCTCTTGGGAGGTGTGGGGAGCCAGCCTGCAGGGTCTAGGGAGGGTCCCTGCTGCAGCCTGCAGGGAAAAGCCAGACGCCCCCACCTCTGCCTACTAATCCCCTTCTCAAATGCACCAGGGAAATGATTAATGGCAGGAGGAAAAGAAACACAGCGGCCACGCAGAAGGAAGTCCGCTGGGAAATCTCCCCAGGGCAGGAGGAAGAGATGCAATGCTTGGAGTTTCCAGGTGTGTTCATCACCTGTGCAGGCTATATAAGCACCGTGGCCGGGAGCCCGGCTAGACAGCACCTGCCAGGCCCCGAGGGCAGCCAGACTGCAACCAGGACAGCAACAGGGCTCCACGCACCCAGGACACGTCTGGCTCTGCTCCCAGCCATGTCACCCTCCACCTGGGCATCCCCTGCCATGGTAAGGGCCTGCCAGTGCCCACACCCGGCTGCAGGGAGCTGACTCAGCCCCAGCTGGGCTGGCATGGGCAAGGGAGGCAGCAAGGGGGTGTGTGGGTGTGGGTTTGGGTGGGTGGATGGTTTTGTGTGTGTGTGTAAAGGGAGAGCCAGGCAGCAGTACCATATTTTTGGGTGTATAAGACGCCTCAAGCCTCTCCAAAAAAATAAGGAACAATTTAATAGCAATTTGGCTGGTTATTTATTATGAGGGTGTGGACACGGCTGGTTGCGCTCCTCTGATATGTCTGCACTGTAAGGGGTCAGGGAGGAGCCCTAGCCCACTTTCTCATGGCGGGGAATATTTGTGTGTGTGTGGGGGGGGACATCTGAATGAATGAGCTAAGACAACCACCAGGCTGCGTGCGTGGCCGTGTGGACGTGCAGCGTACAGATGCGCATCCGTGTCCTTGTACGGGGGTGTGAACCTCTCTGTAGTGTGCTGCCCATGTAGCGCATCTGTGGGCACGTGTGTGTGTTGGTGGCTTTGAGTGTGTGGCTCCTAGTGGGTGTATGCAGGCTGGCACATGGACCCTGCGCTCGTGTCCACGGCAGGTGGGGGTGTCCTGCATACATGTGTGTACAAGCGTCGCAGGGGAGGCGGAGGGCAGCATGGTGGTGCTGACACCCGGCGGGGTTTCCAGACGTGGGGCTGGCCGTGGTCTCACACCTCCTTTTCCTCGCAGGCCCTGCTGTGCGGCGTCATCCTGCTCCTGCTGACGGCCTGCCAGGCCCGTAAGCACCCGGGGGGCACCCAGGCCCACCACCACCACCACGTGCCCTGCTTCAGCCAGGAGCAGCTGCAGGCCGGGGAGGTGCCCATGCACTACGTGAGCCGCGCCGTGCACTGGGACCGCTATGCCCCCGTGCAGATGGTGCCCTACCTGGAGCAGGCGCAGCGGGACCGGAGCCACCGCCGCCGCCGGCACCCCGAGCCCGGCTGCCCCGCGCTGCAGCTCGCAGCGGGTGCTCACAGTGAAGCCAACGAGCGCTCCATCTCGCCCTGGCGATACCGGTAGGTGCTGGCAGGAGGAAAGGGGGAGGTCCACTGTGTACGCCCTCAAGTCTTGGGCCCTGCCTCGGTTTCCCCATCTGGGAATGGGCTGCTGCCCTGCTCTGCATTGGCTCCATTTCCTCTGGCATGTGAGAAGAGGGAAATCTCTTCTCATCCGCCTCACAACCCTATTTCCATAGCAAGGCTCCCTGCAGTGGAGAGCTGGCTGCTAAGTGACATGCCCAAGGTCACGCAGGGAGGCAGTAGCAGAGCAGGGAGCCGAGGGTGGGCTCGGTGGGAGTAAGCTGGCACCCCTTCATGCTGCCAGCCGGGCCCTGGGCAGGGGTGCTTCGGCCCTAGACCCCTGCCCCGGCCTGACCCATGTGCCTTCCCCCCCCACAGCATCGACGAGGACGAGAACCGGTACCCGCCCAAGCTGGCCTTCGCCGAGTGCCTGTGCAACGGCTGCATCGACACCAAGACTGGGCGGGAGACGACGGCACTCAACTCGGTGCTCATCCACCAGACCATGATGGTGCTGCGCCGCAAGCCCTGCCCACGCGACGCCCCCGCCACCTTCGCCTTTGACGTGGACTACATCCGCGTGCCCGTCGGCTGCACCTGCGTCCTGCCCCGCAGCGCTCCCTGAGCTGCCCGCGGGGCGGGAGGGCCGCCGCGCTCCCATGGAGTCGCCCGCCCGCCAGCCACCCATAGCCCCCCGTAGCGTGACCGTGTCACGTGGCCAGTATGTGCTTGTTCTAAGGCACGTGTTTATACCCGCCGTAGGCCCTATGGATCCAGATCCCCCCGCCTGCCTGCACACAGCGTGACCCCCCCACCTCCCTGGTGCATGGAGAGCCTGGCATCCAGGCGTCGGGGTGGACGCAGCAAGGCGCCATCCTCATGCATCCGGGCACTGCCTGGGGTCAGCGTTGCCCGGGGTGTATTCAGGGGCTTGTGCCTGGTTTTACCCCATTCCCTGCAGGAAAACCTGGGGTCTCGAGGCAGGTCCAGGTGCACGGGGATGCCCGCCA